CCCCCTCCTGCACCCCAGCCCTGACCCCCTCCCGCACCCAAACTCCCTCCTGGAGCCTGCACCCCCTCCTGCACCCCAGCCCTGACCCCCTCCCGCACCCAAACTCCCTCCTAGAACCTGCACCCCTGACCCCAGCCCTGAGCCCCCTCCCAGAGCCTGCACCCACTCCTGCACCCTGCCCCCCTGCCCCAGCCCTGAGCCCCCTCCCGCACCCCAAACCCCTCATCCCTGGTCGCACCCCAGAGCCCGCACCCCCAGCCGGAGCCTTCACCCTCCACAGTGCAACCCCCTGCCTCAGCTCAGAGCTCTCTCCCACACCCTGAACCCCTCATTTCTGGCCCCACCCCAGAGCCTGGTGAAAGTGAGTGAGGGTGGGGGAGGGCGAGCGACGGAGGGAGGGGGGATGGAGTGAGCGGGGACAGGGGTGGGGTGGGGTCTCGGAGTAGGGATGGGGCAAGGTTGTTAGCTTTTGTGCGATTAGAAAGTTGGCCGCCGTACTCTGCCCCCTTCCCTGGGTCTGTCCCTCCCCCAGTAACCGAGCGCCTCCTGTCTCTCTCGCAGCTGCAGAAAATGACGACGCTGACGATAGCGGGTGAGTGCAGGGGTGGGGGGCAGTCCGGGGCGCCAGGCAATGTGGGGATGGGGTTAGCAGGATTTGCAGGGCTAGTCTGCTCCCCGATCTACCGAGCCCCAGGGACAAGGCCCCTCTGCTGCCCGGTTAAATCCCTCCATCCCTCGGGTGCCCTGCGACAGGCCAGTGGGGCTGCCAGGTGCCGGTGTGGCCTGAGGCCGGGGATTGTGACGGGCCCCAGGGGGAGCAGCGGAGCGGGGTGATCTCATCCAGCTGATGGGTCGGGACGCTAGCCAGGGCGTCTCTCGGCCTCGCCCCGGCCCATTGGCGGGGTCACTGCAGCCCAGCCGCCCAGGGCCAGCTAAGCTTGGTGCAGAGTCTTACCACGTAAGCACCCTCGTGTGTTCCACGGGGCTCTGAGCACCTCCCTCTCCCGACACCGTCCTCCCTCCTGCGTCTGCCCCCTCCACCCCTGCCCCACCTGGACCCCCCACAGGGGAGGAGAAGGGGCTGCCAGCTCAGCCCCATGGGCTCCCCCTGCTCTGTGCCCAAGCCACCTCCAGCCGATCGGGGCAAGGTGGGGCAGAGGGGGCCTGAAAGCTGTGGGGAGAGACACGGGGTTTCCCCCCTCTTCCCCCGGTCACGGGCTGGGTTTGTCCCCTAAGCAGTGGGTTCCAGGTTCCAAAGTGCCCCAGGGGCTTAGCTCACACAGCGAGACCCCACTCTAGGCTGGGGGTTGCCTCTTTTTTACCCTCGATCCCGTGTGAGGCACTAAAGGACCCAGCTCCCAGCCGGAAGGGTCAGTTGTTTTCCCCTTTGCTCTCCGTGAGGGGGAGGGATCTTGCACCAGGGTTGCCGGAGAGCAGGGGCCGTGTGCCGAGGGAGCCCTGGGTGTTGGGCATCATTGGTTGGAGCTGGGTGCGGCTGGTGATGCCAGGGCCCTGGGCTGACGGGCAG